ATGGTTAATAATTCTGCGAATAGTTTTTGACTGTCAAACTTAACAGACTGCGTGATAGCGAAAACGCACGCAAAAAGATCAGAACTTAAGACCTCATCGACAAGACGCAGTTTTCGGGTACTAGTAATATCCCAAACTTTCACTCGGCCTCCTCTGCAAGCGGTAGCTAGCAAAGGCCTGTACGTGTCCAGAACACACATAGACTGTATCCAGTTGCTGTGTGCTTGCAACTCAATGTGGTCCCTCTTCAAGTCTTCCAGCGAGAATCGCATGATGTTCTGTAAATTAAATCCAAACAGCAATAAAGAACTAGAACACAGTGAATTCAGATGCTTTCGTACTGCCAGTGTGCAGTACAAGATGAAAGAGCATTTGGTACTCACAGAAACTTGAGTATGCAATATAACACGAACCATATCCTTGGATGAGGAAAACAAGGAATTCCCATAAGCAACGACAGATGTCACAGAATCATAATGTGTTGCCAAGTTATTGGAAGCTTCAAAAAAGCCTGTCCCATCAGGAGTGATTTGATACAGTTTGACGTAATGATCGCGAGAACCAGTGAAAACCCTTGGATTTGCACCATCCAAAAATTCCAAACATGTGACCTCGGACCTGCAACTCAATTATTTAAACATATTAAGAAACGAAGCTGACCGATTTAGATGAGTTTTAAGCAATTAGAGATAAACAGTCCTTCCAAATCGTCAGTGCAGCAAGTGAAGAATTTTGATTCTCATTTGTTGAATTTAGTGCATGCCGGTGGCGAAGGTGCATCTGCAGTGATGCTGAAGCTGCTCCACGTAACTGCTACTTTCCACTTGTAATTCATGACGAACATATCAAAAACAGTCAGAAATAAATGCTCAAGCAACAGTAAACAGTGATACGGACTGAAGAATGTTTCACTTTTAACAATCATATTATTAACCTTGAGCTATGTGTTGCCGCTGATAGACGACCATACGATGCAAACTTCTCTAGATTCCAAATGCGCACATCATTGCCAAAAGTTGTGAAGAGAAGCCTGCAGAACATGATGTTATATGAAATTTATAGCAAGTAAAAGATACGTTCATCGTTCACAGAAGCCGTAAAAACTTCTCTGGAAATTAAGACTGCCGATGTTACAGAAGAGCGAAACACAAACACATCCGTAAACTTGTGTCCAGAACAAATAAAAAAATTTGCCTTCCAGAGTTATCCAGTTCGACCGCATTTATCACAGCTTCGGAAACAGCTAACTTTGTTTGGCGAGCACCGTTCGCATCCAAAACATCACCTAAAATGCTGCACT